GTACCCTCAAATAGGGGGTCTATGGTCCCACATTAAGGGCATGTAGGGTCTCATAGAGGAGAGATGGAGGGGCCTTGGAGTTCAATCTTAGCATAAGCATAAAAAAGTGCACGCTTTCAGTTCTATTCAAGGGATCATAGTATCCCCAAAAAGGTTTACCTTGTAGTAATTCACTTCCCCAATAAGCCAGGGACACATTATAGGGTGAAGCTTTGAGGCTACTACTGAATTATAAGAACCCAAAGGTTGGGTATTGGAGAACTAAGCCAATAAGTTCAGCAACGCCAGAGTAGCTCTCTGAATTAGGTTCCCTTTGTGGGTCCAAAATATAGTACGGCACCCTTATAAAAAGGGCCCCCAAAAGGGACCCTAATTTAGACAACTACCCACCAAGCAAAATTCCACACGCACTGCACTAAGCATCCAGCATGAAAGCGCCGACTGTAGCTCCTAACCCCTACACTAGCCTATTCAGTAACCCCCTGAAAAATAAGGTATATACTTTTGTAGGCTAGTTGTAAGATACCAGGAGCCCAAGAACCCCAAAAAGTGAGCAGCCTAGTGCAAGACACCAAATCGGAGGTTATGACTGCTTAATTACAGGGTTTGACCCTTGAAACGGTAGGGTTTTCGGATCCTACAAGCCCTAAACCCGAAACCCCTAAACCCTATATAAACCCGAAAAGCCTAAAGCCTAAACCCCTAGACCCTAAACCCCCAAAATCCTGGCAGCTCAAATTCAGCCGAACTCCCCGAACCCTGGAAGCCCCTCCCCTCCTCAGGAACCACCAAACCCTTGAAGGCTTACGGTTTAGGGTTATAATTAAAGGAAACTACATGCTCGGAGTTTAGGGTATGTAGCGCTTCTACAAGGCTTCTATTAAGGTATATAGACCTTCTATAAGGCTCCTATAACGGTAACTACCCACCAGAAAATGTCCTATTTAGAACTTACTTCCCCAGTCAGCCACGAAAGCAAGAGGCTAAGCTTTCAGGCTACCACCAAAAAAATAAGAACCAAAAAAAAAAATAAAGGTTACCCAGAAAGCAAAAATCTCGAAACCCCCAGCCATCCGAGATGCTCTTGAAGCTTTAGCTCCTGAGCTTGTTTGAGCTTGTCTTCGGTTTCCTTTCAGGGTTCCGATTACACGGTTTAGGGTTTAGGGTTTAGGGACGCTTCTATAAGGGTTCCGTTGAGGGCTTCTGTAAAGATTCTAAATATATCGGCCCCTTCACATGGGTTCCTGTATGGATTTTATAAGGGCCCTTCAAGGTTTCCCTGCAAGGATTCGACGACTGCATGGTCCTTTTAAGGGCGCTTTTTGAGGGTTTAGGGTGTAAATGTAGGAACCTGATCAAGAAACCCTGGGTCTTTACTAGGGTTCTTTGTATGAATCGTACTATTTTGGGGATATAGGGCCAGGGTTTCTTAATCAGGTTCCTACATTAGCGGTTTAGGGTCATGGGTCCCATAAGGGTCTCAGGATTTTGTTGCTTTAGCGTCCAGGCTTTAGGGCGTGGGGCTTGTAGCTGGGGATGGAGTTCGGGCAACGGGGCCGTTCGCGCGTGTACCCATGAATCCTATAATAGAAACCCTGCATGTTCTACTATATATATATATAGATAGATAGATAGATAGATAGATAGATAGATAGATAGGTACTTAGGATCCTTAGGGTGAGGCATAAAGGGTTTCAAAAGGGCTTAGAGTTTTAGGGTTCATGTCTTGAGATGCTCGAATCCCAAACACCACATAAAGTGGATGCCAGAAACTTGAGCCACGATCATCCTTATTCCCTTAAGGTAACCTCTAAGCAATCCCAGCACTAAATATTCTTCTCCCTTGTTCGAACTTTCTGAAGCTCACGACGGTACACCACTATCGTGCTATGCTGAGCCCTAAAGGCATATTAACTATTTACTATAGATCCCTATTATGGTAACTTAAAGATTTAATCCTTTCTACCAAGAACCCAGAGGCCTATAATCTATTTTGGGTGTTGGGGGGAGGGTCTCACTTCGTCACTGGACCCTACATTATGGGAACCACCTCTTTAAGGTTTAGGGCCTAGGGTTTAGAGCCTTAGTGTTTAGAGCCTTAGGGTTTAGGGCCTTAGGGTTTAGGGTTCATGAGGCTCTGCCTCTTTGCAAGAGATTCACTAAAACAGGGATGTTTGCGATACGAGTCTTCAAGACAGCAGGCTGGTTGATCAGCGGTCTACCTTGTGGATAAAAGGATAGAGGGTCCAGCAATCCCATCGAAGCTAGAAGCTAGCTTGTTTGGGGAAAATCGCAATCCTATAGACCCTAAACCGTAAACCCTAGACCCTAAACCACTGTAAATCCTCAAGCGTTCTTCCTGCGGCCGAGGGTGCCCTGGGAATGTGCCTGTCTTGCAGCCTCATCCTCCTTATTTGCTGAGGTCATCAGCATAAAAAAAAGTGTACACTTTCAGTTCTAGAAGGGATCATATTATCCCAACCCAAAAAACCCTAAAACCCTAAACCCTAAAACCCTAAAACCCTAAACCCTAAACCCTAAACCCTAAAACCCTAAACCCTAAACCCTAAAACCCAAAACCCTAAAACCCTAAAAGCCTAAAACCCTAAACCCTAAAACCCTAAAACCCTAAAGCCTCCTTGGAGCAAAATTCCGAGGCTCGGTCCCTGAGTTCATGGATTTCGGGCTTAGGGATGAGGGTTTCGGGGGTTTAGGGTTTAGGGGTTTGGGGTTTAGGGTTTAGAGGTGTAGGGTTCAGGGTTTAGGGCTTAAGGGGTTTAGGGTTTTGGGGGATTTAGGGTTTAGGGGTTTAGGGGTTGAGGGGTTTTAGGGTTAGGGTGTAAGGTTTAAAGGTTTGGGGTTTAGGGTTTAGGGTTTGGGGTTGAGGCACTACGAGAGTGATGCAGGAGTTTAGAGAGATAAGGATGGTTGAAAGGAGTCTGGGTCAGGGTTTATAGGGTTTAGACCTCTCGCATTTGCTGGCGCGAGCTTGTAAAGAAAGCACCACCTTGACAGCAATACCGTGTAAGGCAGCAGTAGGTGTTGGCTTGTCCAGGCTGGAGCAGAGGTTCAGGGTTTAGGGTTTAGGGTGAGGTTCCACGCGTGCCGTGCAGCGCACTTCACCCCTGATTTTGACACCAGAATCCGCTCTCTGCCTTTCAATGGAGCCGGCGCAGACCCTTTTTTCCAGGCTTCATGACCTAGTGTTTTGTAGGGTTTGGGGCCACAGGCAAGATTTGTGATTAAGGCTTTGGGTGTAGGCTTACGCTTCTTTTTCGGATACAGGTTTCACTTAGCCCCTAAACTCGAAGCCCCTAGACCCTCTACCCCACACACGAATCCCAAACTGCGAAACCTAAAGCTGTTTGTTGGTTTAATGTAGGAGCCTTAACAATTGGAATAGGGTTCTGGGCTCCTTAATACTATATTTATAATAAGAAGCCCTGAGGTATAATGTTGGAATTTATTTAGGCTTCTACATTAGGGGTTACGTGGTTGGGATTAGGGTTGGTCGTGAAGTAGCCAAACAGGAAAAGTCTGAGCCAAACCAATATTGCACCATGAAGCCAAAGCAACTGGCTGCCTGCACAATGCCGGAAAATTATGCAAAACTTACATTCACAACCAAGAAGGCTGAGTTTACCACCCTAAACGCTAAACCCCAAACCCTAAATCCTAAACCATAGACCCCAAACCCGAAACCCTAAACCCTAAACTGTTGTTCTCAACTAAGGGGTAACGGGCTCCCTGGGTACCTCAGCCGCCAAGGTGCAGTTCCAAGAGCCCTTTAAAGCATCAAAGACGCATACCACAGGAGTTTAGGGCTTAGGGTTTAGGGGTTTAGGGTCTAGTGTTTAGGGGTTTAGGGTTTATATAGCAGAGGGATCCTTTCACAAGGGTTTTTGGCCCAAGGATGTATCGGCAATTGTAGTTGCTCCGAGCCCCATGGTGTCCCTAGCCTAACACCTGCCTGAAACGTACAGAACTTACATGTCGAGCTCCTTATTGTGATTTCCTTAAATAGTTCATTCAGAAGGTTTTTTCCCTGGCACTTGTTTGCCGAAACAGAAACCCGCAATGTGCAAATCTTGGGTGTTCGAAACCGACACTATCCCAAAGAGCCATTGGGAAGCTTTGCTTTGTTGGTGAGCAGCGCCAGTGGACCACCCACTCCCAGAAATTTGGTCACCAAGCGCGGTGCCTTTCCGGACTTTACGATATTTTCGGTTTATGGATTGTGCTGGTGAGAGACAGAGGGGGATGTGAAAGCATGCAGGGAAACAAAAGCTGTCCCTGTGCAGTAGTGGCACTGGATGAGATGGCAAAGAATCCTAAACCTTCTGACTTTCTTCCGATTTCCTACGAATGCTGCACTTGCTGACTTTAGCCGGGGTTGGAATTCGGAATGAAGAACACCCCTGTTTCGAAAGCCTAAACCCTAAACCATCACCCAAGGGGTCCAAGTTCCCAAAAGGCATCAGTACTAGCCTCATGTAGGGGCCTTAATAATTCGAATAGGGTTTTGGGGGTTCCTTAGTCCTTTTTGTACTTGTAGTATAATGGGCCCCAAATCCCTATTCCAACTATCAAGGCCCCTATATTACATCACTACGCTAAGCTCAAACCAGTGGGTCCTTTGGGCTCTTCGGGTACGTGCGCTGGGGATTCAGAGCCACGTAAGGCGATACCCGCGCGTGCGAAAGGCCCTAAGCTCTAAAAACCCTAAAGCCCTAAAGCCCTAAAGCCCTAAACCCTAAACCCCAAAACCCTAAACCTTATAAACCCTAAAGCCCTAAACCCTAAAATCCTAAAGCCCCAAACTCTAAAACCCTGAACCGATCTATTCCTAAATCAACCCAGAGCCTCTGTCCAAATGCCCACAGAGTTCAGGGTTCAGGGTAGGGTTTATGTTTAGGATTTAGGGTTTA